CTCCCCTGATTCTTGGTCGAATTATTAAATCTTACACAGCTGCAAAGGTCAAAATGTCCAGAACGCATCTCCCGTTATTTTAAATATATCCGGATCCGTTTTACGAAGAAATACGCAATTTCCGAAGGAGCGCGAAGTGTGCAGAATATCCAGTGCTCGGTAAACTTCGACGGTGTCTATGCCAATAGGCGTTGCGAGTCTGTTGTATTACTAGTCTGAGGTTTAAATTACACTCTGGCTACCATATCGCTCTCGACAATTCAAGAATTATCTTGTCTGTGACCCTTAATGCCGGGGTTATATCTGTAAACCCACATATTCTCGCGATGTTTCTAATACATTCTAGGCCTTTGTGTTTCAACCTCACATTCCTCTTCAAAACTCTCGCACAATCTCAAGTTTCAGTATATCGGTTGCAATAACGATGACCCATCTTAATTTGTTGATGTAAAATTTTGCATAATTTCCCCCCAAAAGTGGTATAAGATCATGAATCACAATACTGATTGAAGTAAATGGCGTGAATTTTACTTTAACTCTGCGATAATTATAGCAACTCAAATGGTAAAGAAAACCGGGAAGTGTCCTGCGTTTGTGGAAGGCCGTGGCTGTCAGGAAAATTGCTTTTCGAATGAAGAATGCCCTGGTAATCAAGTATGTTGTTATAATGGGTGTGGTAGAGTATGTGTCGACCCCGAAGAAGAGATTATACAACCAGCGGCAGGTACACACACACACACACTACTACGATAACATTGGTGAGCACATAGTTGTAGAATGTAATCTAAAAACGGTATATTACATCGGGTAGCCATAACCAATGACGTCACTGTGTATGGGCATTACATTATTTCATAATTACACGACTACCAATATAATATTAAATAAATTTATATTTATTGCCGATATATTCACGTTACTGTAATATGTTATAGTAGCCTTATATTGCATGGTAGATTTCACTCAGATTTCTAGTGTATTTTCACATTTACTGATATAAATAGGCTATTCTCTACTATTTAATGATATAAATATACAATTGATGTCTTTGTCAGAAGAGTACATCTATGCTGGCTGTTATATGACACCAGACCCTGCTTTAGAAAAAGACGCGGCTTTGTACAAACCAATTGAAGGGACAATTTCTGTAAAACAAAGGGTAGGTTATTGTAGTCATTGAAGTTATGGTTTACATTTTACTCAATGGGTTTCACGTGCAACGGAACATCCTAATGTATTTGAATATTGACCCCGGTGTGTGTCAGGGGGGGGGGGCTACGCGGAGGCGTGCATTTTTTGTAATGTACAACTTTTTTTCTGTCGACAGAGTACTGGTGGTAATATTGATATTATTCTCGATCTCTCGGGATTCGATGCTAGCTCTCGCCATGGGTTTCACGTGCATACTTATGGTTACATTGACGGTATGACAGGTTGCAGTGCTTCTAACACTGGCCAACATTATAATCCACAATTTAAAACACACGGGGCTCCAGGTGACTCTGAACGGTGAGTATGTACGATAACATGTCAGTACTTTATTTTCGATGTATAATTTCAGCTCAATAATGTTCATGCGTGCCGAATATAATAATATCATTATATATTATGTTTAATATATTCTACATTTTGCATTACGTTACTTCTTGATAATACTACGTTACAGTCACGTTGGTGACCTTGGTAACATCGAGAGCGATGAAAATGGTAATGTGAAGACAGTTATTCGTGATGACGTAGCATCTCTAGTTGGACCGGATTCCATTCTTGGGCGGTCGTTCGTGGTAAGTAAGAACAGTGCAAGTACTTCAATCGTCATTCGTAAATTAATTAACATTTGGAGTGTAATATAATAATAGCATCGGTTGAAAAAAAACATTAACTAGTTTGATTAATCTATTCGCAGATTCACGCTGGTGTTGACGATCTTGGTCAAGGCGAAGACGAAGGAAGCCATTCTACCGGTAATGCTGGGGCCCGCATTGCGTGTTGTGCTATTGGATGGATGCCAAGTTTGGAGAACGAGTAGTAGTTCTGAAAATAAATTTCAACTTGAAGCAAAAATTAAATGAGTTGAAATTCGTGACGTGTTGAAGTGTGTTGGAAATAAATATGAAACATTTATTACCAATTTATTGTGCACAATTCTTTGATTCAGTGTTGATATATCTCGTTATTTTTGCTTGAAATATATATTATATATAATATATATATATATATTATATGGGTTTGCATGATTAGAATTTCAATTTATGCGAGTTCACTTGGGCAAACCACAATCATTTTGCCCAAAATAATAATTAAAATGTCAAAAATATATTAAATATATGTTTATATACTGAGCTCAACTTGATATACATGTACTTACATATTGCATCAATATTGTATATAAAGCTATCTTATCTATATACGAGGGGTGATCAATACGTTCTCGGCCTCACCATGAAACAATGGGTGGAACTCCTATTCTGGGGTATAACTTTATACTATAATGTCTCAAGTCACTATATAATTTCAAATTTAGGTATTCTTTAATTAGCACGTGGTGTCATTTAAAATCAGGCGAGATGACAATCACAAAATGGGCCAGACAGAAGCTCGTGCTGTGATCAAGTATCTCAATAAAAAGGGATGACTCCGAAAAAAATCCACGAAGACATGGTCATGATACTTGGTGAGGTCCCCCTTCTTATTCCACTGTGAAGAAGTGGGTTGCTAACTTGAAGAGAGGCAAGGAGAGCACGAAAGATGACCCAAAGACGCCCAAAATATGCCACCATGGACAATCAGGTTGCGGCCATCCATCCCATGGTAATGAATGACAGACGTGTCACTATCCGACATATCTGGCATTCATTAGGCAGGAAAACTGGAACATCGATGGACAAAGTGCATTGAACTTAGAGGGGACTATGTTAACAAATAGTGTAAGAAAAATCTTCCTTCTGTAATGTTTTATGTGAAGGGCCAAGAACTTATTGATCATCCCTCGTATGTGTATTATATTGTTGTTATCGCCAACAATATCGTCATCTATGACTCGGCAGTTTTCGGTGCTTATTCTGAAAATTCTTCTCCCCTCTTGAATAAAAACAATTGAAATAGAGTAAATGACTTCAGAATTCCAACACTGTTTTCACACATCAAGATACATTTATCCGAGACATGAACTCCATACCGGAGTACACTAATTTAGAAATGTAGCGGTAAATATTTGTCTGATATTTTTTTTCTTAAAATCAGAAAACAAAATAATTACATTATTATCTATTAGCAGGTGCCGGCAAACACATGAACTTTGTGAGCACGCCTTTAAAGGATTCATAAATAGATTTCAAGAAAAATCACGGCAGATACTGTGGAATACCTTATTTTCGCTGGAATTAATTTTCGCTGAAAAGGCTTTTTGGGCGTTTTGTATGGAATTTATTTTCACTGATTTTTGATGAGTTTAATGTGAAATATAGGAAAAAAAGTGTATTCGCTGGATTTTATTTTCACGGAATCATCCCTTCAGCAAAAATAACGAAAATAAATTCCAAGCAAAAATAAAGTTTAACTTTTGAAGTGATTTATTAAATTGTGGGAGTCGTCACCTGCGCAAGCGTCATACGGCCATAGTGTGTCATTGTTTACAAACAAGCGTCTACCCATGAGCCTTTGGGTTTTAGCGTGTGTTGTTATCATCGCTTGGAACTGCGCGTGCGCAGTCGACGACACTCCCGCTTTAACGTGTTATTTGTAAAACCGTGACTGGGACTTGCAACAAAATAAACCATGTGCCCAGCTTGTCTGCTGCCCTCTAGTAACTTACCAGGACTGTATACAGAGGACTGTTATCAGACAAAGTGCACGACCGTGTCGCTATCAGTGTATGAGCATTGATCGGATATCGCTATGGCTATCATATTTGCCGTGTGTGTTGCTGCTATTTGTCTTGGTGCCATCGGTAAGTCTCCCAGCATTGTGAATTGTTTCCTCTTTTTTCGGGTAAAATAACAGGATTTTCAAGGAACTCGGAATGGAGAACTGCAATTGATGGACGGCTTGCTTGTAATTCCTGTATTGTATTGAATGGAATATCTTTCTAAAACTGTTTGATCAAAGAATGGTGGCCTTTCCAATTATATGCTAAATATGTCTAAACTGAGGTCAGTGAACTCATGGAACTATAAACTATAACATTGGTACCATTATCTGTAGAACACGGAACGTAGGAATGGTCGGTCGCTCCGTGTCCTGATCGAAAGCAGCCCCGTTTGACGTATACAACACGTGTGAACACTGTTTTAAGGTACCGAGAAGGGTTTGATGACGTTTTTGAATAAAGCATTCCCTGTCTGTTTCATTCAGAACCGTAATTTAGCGTATATGATTCAAAAGCATAAGTATAGATGTACAAGTTCGCGCAAACTAGACAGTCATTGTTTACATAATTACCACATGACAAAAAAAAAATGGCGAACCTTGTAAAAATGACTAAATCCGCGATTGCGAGAGCGCACTGCGGAATTTCCGGATAAAATTTGCGTCATGCATTGTCCGTAATCAAGTTCATTGAAATGTGTCTCCGGTAAACAAAAGACCTTTTTTTTTCGATTTCTACGCAGGTTTGTTTTTTGTTCCCTAATTATTTCATGTTTGACACCTTCAACAGACTATTATTCTGTGACAAAGCATTTTCTTAAAAAACCCAGACATATTTCGCACCGTCATTATCCTTTGAACGATAAGTGCGAGTTTGAATGTCATAGTCCGAATGCACTTGATTTGACGGTGGTTCCAATGAGCCGTACTGAATCAAAACTTAAACTCGAGAAAAACAGTTTTGAATAGTAAAACAATGCAGATTTTCTGCATTATTATAAACATACACTAAGAATGGCCAAACTTATTAACCACTGATATCATAGAACCCATTAATCGTGTCAGATAACGAATAATTTCAAGCGTGAGTGTGAAAATTGAAGAAAATAGCTCAGTTCCGTACTGCTGTAGCGTTCTAGAGACATGACTTCATTGTTATGCAAACGTACAACGAGGGATAATCCTCTGACACACATTAATGTCCCACTGTACACGCTGAATGTTTACAAACAAGCTAATCGTTCAAGTGTCTCTGATAAAAGACCACTCCACTCGCGGGGTTGGTCATAAAATATCTCTGAATTGTCTTTGCCTTCTCTGTCGTCGGCTTCTTTGCTTTGTTTCTTTTCCTCGTCATTGCGTTAGTAAAATGATGTTAGTAAAATAGAATATTGACTTGGAAAAATAAAACAATTTAAAAGAAAGTTGCGCAAAGTTATGACTATGTTTTTCCGACAAAGGCTTGACTGACAAAAATGCTGATAGTGGACGTAAGAAAAACACTCATTGTTTGCGACAGGAAGCTTATCACCCGTTATGTTAGAATCGTCAACAACAGATAAACTTTATGCAAATATCCACGAAACGGCAATTGTAGTTATTTGTGTTAGCATTTAAAACACTAATTTGAGCAGCGTCTTTCCAAAATTTTGATCTTTTGAAAAACCGGGATGATGTATCAAGGTTCAAAGTAACCGTTTTATAATATTTTGAAAAATCTAGAAAAAATGAAAATTTCTCTTCTCGCTACCTTATTACACGAAATTTGAATACGTGCCGAATGACGACCACAGCCTTTTAAGTATGCCGCCTTGCAGAGATGTACAAAAACATGACGCCCTCCCGAAATAATGCAGTAGTTATTTTTCAGGCCAACACAGAGCCGCGCCCAAGCAAAGAACTTTCCCTAACTATACCGGGCTGTAACGAGGACGTAATGTTGCCCAGCATGGAAGGGCAATCCCGGTAGAGGACCAATACTGTTTTGTACACTCCTGCATAATACAACGAGGTCGAGGCATGTACTCGGACAAATATTTTCGATAGCTAAGAATATTTATGCTTGATACTCCTGCCAGGATTTTTGTAACATTTATGTAACGGGAGTAAGGATTGTATGTAGCATTTTTGTGTATTATACCAACAACATTCCGGGATAGGGTTCAAATGAGTAGGGGGAAAATACCGCTGACGGCTCACTCTTACTCAAACTTATAATACATTTAATGTGCGCATGGCTTTCGTGAGCTGAACGATCACACATAATCCCATCCCATTCATTTACGAACATGGTACGAATTACGTTAATATAGCGTGATATCGGCAGTGATGACCTGATTAAACAACGTATTCATACTCTTAACAGTGCCTCCAAAGACTTACGCTGTAGTTGGTGAACGTTCAGTAAAGTCGTCTTCTTCGCGACTCTCCAGTAAATCAACAGGTTTGTAATAATTTGTTGTCACACGTAGCGCAGTAGCCTGACAAG